GGAAAAATCTCAGAGCTGAGAAATGTTTCTGATACAAATTTGGGTAAACTTTCACCTGCCTCTGGACAAATGGTATTACGGAACCAGGTTTGTTTTGCCTGCCCCCCAGAAAGGCAATCACTGAGATGATGAGATTGCGGAGAGAGGGTTTAATCACAAGGCAGCCATGTGAGGAAACGGGAAAATGAGTCTCAAACCCGCTTCCCCGAAAACAGGGACTCAAGGATATTTATCCGGAAGGGGGCAAGGTGGTCTGAAATGTGGAGATAGATGATTGGAGATGAGGAGAAGTGAGGTAATTGATGATCTGTGCAAGCATGGTTAGACTTCACGCCTCTTCATAGGATGCGTGTTCACAAAATGGTGGCGTTGGCATGACCCAAGGGTGGAGTTTTTAGCCTCTTGATGTCAAAAGGTCGCTTATCGGACATCTGTGCGGGCCCAGTTGATGGGTTGGTGGTCTCAACCGGCCTGAAGTGAACAAGGGGTTCTAATTCCTGAAAAACAGCTCAAACACCCATTACCATGGTGACCCAGGCTTCAAAGAGATGTCATCTATAGGAATCTAGTGGGAGTCAGATAGCATATTGCCTAAATAGCACAGTTAACGATGGGCGGGTAAACAGCTAAAAGCTATAGCCAGTAATTGCAAAAAGGACAAAGAACTTTAGTCTTTAGTCCCTAGCTACTTAATCATCAATGGCTAACTTTTTGCTGGTTTCAATGGGAGCCCCATTTTTAGCCCACAGTGTCTTGCAATTCTGCTGCATGCTGCTTACTCCAGCATCAACTACCGGGTGCGTTTTGAGTAGGGGTTATGGGTGTGGTTTGCTTTTGCATTCTGTTTTGTCTGTGGGTTGGGTGAGTAGAGGGCCATGCTACTCAAGGTAGTTCACAGACCATCAGCCTCACCATGGAACTTGTTGGAAATGCGGAATCTCAAGCCTCCCCGAATCCTGCCCCCCGCCCCCGCGCCCACCAAATTAGAATCTGCATTTTAACAAGATGGCCATACATACCTTAAAGTTTGAGAAGCGCTTAAAACTTAAAGAAAACTCAGTTAAGTTTAAAGAGAGAGATAGTAGCCATGCAGTGGGCAAAGCTCTGTTCAGTCTCCGAGTTTTACTTAGAATATTCTTGTCCCAAATTCTCCATTCATCTAGAGATGACATTTCCTCCTTTACGGGTAAAGTCTATCTCTTTTACTCTGAGCTCACTTGATCATCAGCCTTAATTATGTAAAATATGGCCCAGACCTAGGAATAATTAAAAAAACCACTCCAGGCAACTAGCACGGATGCCTTAACATCTACATTGCAGAGTTTCTGTGTTTTACACATTGGCGAGATCCCAGAACCTTACAATCCTAATAATCTTGGTGTTATGGTTCCCTGCACACAAAAGATTGGAAGCAGCAAATTAAAAGTAGAACATAGAGAAAAAAGTAAAGTACAGGCTTGGGGTGAGGTTTATAGTGAGAATTGGTGGTAGAAAGAATAGCTTTAACATTTTCACGGTTATTTGGTTTTATAAATCTTGTTCACACTTCAAACCCACTAACTCAAATCTTAAAGAAGTGGTTCTCAAGGTTCGCTACACATTAAATCACCTGAGGACCCCCTTAAAAAAAAATGTAATGCTTAAGCCTCAGTCTCAGAGATTCTGGTCTAATTGGTCTGGGGTGGGGTCCAGGCACAGGTATTTTATAAAAGCTTCCTAGGTGATTCTAATTAGCAGCCAGGGTTGTGAGCCACTAGCTTAGTGGTTCAGGGCCATTCATTGTAGGGCCCAGAGGCCTGGATGCCTACATAGCCCTGCATAGGCTCTTTACAGTGTGCTACAATCAAGGTTAGGATGACATTGGTACCAGGAGTTTCTTTTAAGAGGAGAATGCTTTATATATTAGAAATGATTTTGACAGAAAATAAAATAGCCTAGAGCGAAATGATACGGAAACGAATGTCCAACTCTTGTGTCATAGTTAGAGAAATCTAAAGGGAGCTGGTGGAATAAGGCAGACACCCACCATCTCTCTCCTGATCCTCCCCCTGTAGACCAATGGGATCTTGTTACAATGCAGATTCTGACTCTGTAGGTCTGGGGAGGGCTCGAGACTTTGCAGTTTTCATGAGCTCCAGATGATGCTCCAGGGACCATACCTAGGGCAGCAAGGCTGTAGTTCACACTGATGGCCATGACTCACCCTCGAGCCCCTTCTTTGGAACCCAAACAAGAAGGATGGCTTCCTCACTCTCGAAGAATGAATTCCATTGGGGTCCTTAATATCCAGAATCACTCTGCTCAAAACCATAGGCTTTCCTGAACTAATGTCATGAGTGTATCCATCTCTTCTCTTAATCGTTCCCTCCTCCCACTAGGCAACTTTATCAGGGGATCAGGGACTGTTGAGTTAGAAATGGGCTTAGAGACCATAGAGCTCGGCCCATTCATTACAAAAGCTTGGCAACGAGGCTGAGATGGCAAAGGGTGGCATATTTCACAGGTGAGAGTGGCAAAGTCAAAACTGGATCCAACTCAGGAGAAGAAAGCATCAGTTAAGGATTCTAGTAAAAAAATCAGTCAAAAATAATTGCTTTGTATTACTTTCTACATGCAACATCCACTTGATTATCTCCATGGAGCTTGCAGACTAACAAAGAGTCAGAAAGGAATATACGACTCTAAAGCTAGGCTGACTGGCCTCAGAGCCCTAAGATGGGGCAGATAGCATGCTGGAGAGGCTCCCCTGCCTCTGAGACCACACAGCAGCTATTGTTTCCCCTCTCATGGAATTTCCATAAAGAAGGCTCAAGGCCTCCACAGAAGCTGCCCAATGAATTCCTCAGTCATCCTTATTTCACTTTTCATTTTTTGGAACTCCTTCTCAAATGATTTTCCAAATCCTACAAAGAATGACATATACTCTTGCTCAATATTAAGAAGCCCTCATGTGAAAACGAAGAAATATAACATTCTTTCAAAGTAGGGGGGATCATCTTCCCAGGACATTCAGAAGGGAATCCAGCCAAATGGGTCTGATTCTTGCTCCATTATTTGTTTCTTTGTGCTGCTTAGAAAAGCAAAACAAGCGCTAATGAAATGGACAGGCCCAGTGGCATTCTGGATCCTGGAGCCATCTATGTGGCTGGGTCAGTTGGCCACACTGGCTCCTGGGTGCCCCCTTCCCTTGCCACAAAAGGCCATCCCAGAGGCACTGTTTAAGCTGGACTTGTTAATCATTTCTGACCTCAAAGCTCAGGACTGGGCTGAGACTTCTCCAACACAGCATATTACCACAGTATGTTGCTCCCATTGGCTGTCTGGGTCTGGAATTAAGACCCATCCACAGGCAAATCACCCTGAAAGCCACAAGTCTGAATATCAAATACAAACACCACTAGGGGCTGCACTGGCAAAGAGGTTTGCTGGGCTCCTGTCTCCTCCCTCCACTCCCAACCTTACTTGGCTTTTGTCTTCTATTTTGTGTTCCTGGTAAATCCAATTATATGTCTATTACTGTAGGCCACGTCCGCACCTTGTTGGGAATTAGGCTGTCCGGATAGGCAGAGTAGCAGATACATTCCTTTGCTATCAGGGGATCAGGTGTTAGGCTCATTGTCACTTTCCTGACATTTCAAAAGATCAATTATTTTCTTAGTGCCTAGTCAGAGAGATGGGGAAGAGCTGGAAGGCTAGGCAGCAGATTGCTACCAGCGGTGATGTTTGAGCAATGATGCTGAAGCTCGTTTACAAGTTTCTCATTGTACTTTATTTTCTTAATTGCCTTAATGCGCATGTGTTACTCCAAAATGAAGTGAAATTGTTTTCCTTATTTGCTGTAATTTACAGAGAGGTTTGATCATGTAACCCAGGGACTTCAAATCCATTGATCTTGGGGTAGAGGGAGGGGTTTCTTTTTAAGTATTCCTTTTGAACCATGTTTTCACTAATGAATTCAAAGCCTATAAAGGGAAAAACCCATGTTTCTTCACCACCAAGTTTCACAATAGCTATTAGATGACCACAGCATCATCAAAGCCATGGAAAATACATGTCTTGGGTATGGGAGGGGGCGGGGGCTTCAAGAGTTGCACTTTGCCAAGGAAATTGATTCTGACACCCAAATCCACAGGCTGAAGGTGATGCTGTGAACCTGGCAAACACCAGGCCTGGTTCAGGTTTGCATGGGTTTCTTCTGATCCCACAAGGTGTGGCGGGGGGCCCTGGCTCTGCGTCGTCTGGCGTCAGCTGTGAGTTCCAAGCAGAGGCTCGGAGTGCCGGTCTGGGGTGTGGCTTGACCAGCTGACTCGGACAGTGGGTCTGGGCGTCAAGGGGAGAGAAGGACGCTGGTGCCTCAGACAGAAGAAAGGACCAAGATACAGAACAGGGTACCTCCCCAGCAGTGGGGAATGGGAGGGGCGTGGAGGTGAGGCTGGCTGGCTGGGGTCCTTAAGGAAGTCCAGGGTCTGTTGGGCTGCGCCTGCGCTCCTAGACGCTGCCACGGTCCCAGGACATAAGTCAGGCCAGTGCTCAGGGCCAGCTCTGGACACTGCCCGGTCGCCCCACGTGCCACGCGCCCCGCCCATCCTGCCTCGCGCCCAGCCCACGCGCCCCGCGCCCCGCCCCACTACCCCACGCCCCACCCC